GGTAGTGGGAGAGGGGGGAAAGAGCGAGAGATAGGAGGAGCTGTGGGGGGGGTGTGGGGTGTGGGGTGTTTTTTCTTCGACACTCTCTCCCGCAACCCCTCGTTTCTCATGTAGGAGGGCAACGGTCGCCGCTGTTCCTTTTTGAGACATTTCTTATTTTGTGACCCAGACTGAGCCATGTGTCTCCATCCTATTTTCTTATTTTTCGTGGAAAAGTGAGCCTCTATTTCTTAAAAATATATTTCTTGATTGCGGGCGCTAACTCATCGGTCGAGGGGGGGTGTCATCTCTCCAACGCTTTATTACGGCATTGTTTCTGTTGGAGCGGTAAACTCTTTACCGGGGACAATTAAATGCGCTGCATTTGTTTTTGCTTCGTCGTTTCGATGTTGCGTTGATGTTAAGTGCCCGCGGCTGCACACGTGAGACGTATCATACCCGATTGAATAAAAAGCTCAACCTTGGGTCTGTTGTATTTAGCACAGGGCGGATTTTTCGAATTTTGGCCCCCGTCCAGGGACCTTGATTTTTCCCGCTGACACTGACGTCTTTTCATTGGTCAGCCGGTTAGGGCGGCCGATGCTACTAATCCCCAACACCTGTAGAGGACACGATTCCCTCTTTTCACGTTCTCGCAATAGGATTTACTGCGAGTACCGCATAGGGAAAATGAGCAGAAACAAGCGCCTGGGGGCTGGAACGTCCAAAAACAAAGAGAACGGCGCAGAAACGTAGAGCCCGACGTCCAGAATGAATCGTATGACAACCGTGTTCCCGCGCGACGATAAAAACAGATATATAGAGAGGGCCGGACTTAAAAGTGCGCGGTCTTCAAAACCGCTATATTTCCGGTGCACGTGTTGCTGCGTGTTTTCTGTGGTTGCCTAGCTCTGCCTTGTCAGCACTCTCTTCACACAGCAGCCAGTAGTAGCGCCTTCCTCCCTGTCCTGCCAGACCAAGCGATAGCGACTCTCTCTGTCCATACTCTTCGAGAGTCCTTCTCGCTCGTGTGATCAAGAGCGCATCACTGTCTGCACTTTCGAGTTGTTAGCGTTACCCGGTGAAGATCTGGAAAGCTCGAGACAGGCAACACAGACGATCATACTCACTCGTCGCGAAGCTAACACAACGAATGGTGAAGATTTTTATGACAGTTGGCCACATTTTCAACGCCGTGTTCGTGGAACGTGGAATCTACCCTCCAGATGTCTCCCTCACACAATAAACACACGTGTGCGTTCGTGCGAACCATCTGATTGAAACGTACGCGACAGCCAACAAATAGGACGTCGCGACTTCGTCGGTGTTTGAAGAAGGAGAATTGTGGAAGTCAGGATGTTCGTATCTTCTTATACTTACACACACATACGAAGAGAGAAGAGAACCTTCGACAGACGATGATTCATCGCTCTACTCTGGATCTTTCCTCTGTGGGTTATTTGCTCCGACAGGAGTCTGGGTAGATCTTTATGGTTGGTACCGAGAGCCAAGAAGGGCCAACGCCCACTCGCAACCCTACCCCTAGCCTTGACCGAGCACGCTCCAAACGGCCATGCCTAACAGACCTTACCAAGTGTCAGCAGAAACTAAACGACGTCCGACCTGTCCGCAGCGATAGGGAGTTGTTCACTGTCAGCACTGCACGGGTATTTCAGTCTGTTAACCATGCCAAGCTACGCGAGAAGCAACGTAAGAATACAAGGAGTACATCCACTACATCCTTCCCGAAAATGCGCCTCTCCCAGACAGAGGAACAGCAACGACAATGTCATACTACTCAATACAGGACGGATTACTGCTTATGTCGTGCTTGCCTGGACACATCCGCAAACGTAGCACGTTCAGTGATCAGCTGGTATTCTAGGGATTCCACCTGAAAAACGCACGAAGAAAACGTGTTTGGAAAAACGCGTTTCAGAAAGTGACGGTTGAAAAATCGTGTTTCGCTGTGTCCCCTCTAGTGCCGGTTGGAACCCCCCCCCGTGCTCTTGATATTTTTTCGGACATNCTAGGGATTCCACCTGAAAAACGCACGAAGAAAACGTGTTTGGAAAAACGCGTTTCAGAAAGTGACGGTTGAAAAATCGTGTTTCGCTGTGTCCCCTCTAGTGCCGGTTGGAACCCCCCCCCGTGCTCTTGATATTTTTTCGGACATAACTTTCGCAAACACGGAACACGCGGCGGCGTGATTTGGCGTGATGTTGGCACGCGCGTTGACGTCCTGAAGCAAATGGCGGGCCTACAGCGTGGTAAGATTCGGCATGAGAGGCATGGCCAATCATGCAGATGATTACGGCGGCTCTGCTGTGTGCGGTGGCTGGAGAGGAGGAGCTTTTCCTCGTCCTGGCGGTAGTGGCAATGCGGCAACTCCAATGCGTTTCCAACTCAAACCACGCTCCCAACTCGAACCACGCCGCCGGGTGAACTGTGCTAACCCTGACTTCCAAGCACTTGACCGCTGGTGTGGCTGATGACTCGCTACCTCCCTCAAGGGGTGAGGATGCACACATACGAAGTCCGCCGTAGGAGAGGTGGCTACCGCAGTCACTGGTGCGGGTGAAAAGCTGTCCCAACCACGCCCACCATCATGCACGCCCCCAGCACGTTCTTTGAAACACAAACGTTCACCGGAAATGACCCCAACGCGTGCCGGTTCCACACCAGCGGATCGTGACAACTGGGCGGAGATTTACCGATGGTTCAGTTAGCGTACAACACGTCTTTCGACAAAACCATGCATGAAACTCCGTATTTTTTATGTTCGGTCGCNCGGATCGTGACAACTGGGCGGAGATTTACCGATGGTTCAGTTAGCGTACAACACGTCTTTCGACAAAACCATGCATGAAACTCCGTATTTTTTATGTTCGGTCGCCAAGCACGTTTACCTGTAGCAAAACGACCGAACGAGACACGCGAAGTATCCGTCCATCTCGCCCACGTGAAGCAGTATTATGCCAGAGACACTCCACCAGCACCACAGTTTGACAAATTATTTGAGTACTTTTCGGGAAACAAATTCCCCGGGCAACTGTGGATCAAACACTGATGATCATCCGCGATAGAAAGATATGTGGTTCAGAAAGTGGTGAGCCACAGAAGTGGTCGTGGTCGTAAAGATCCTCACAAGTACACCAACAGGTTACGCCTGAGAGGATAAATATGGTCCTGAGTCAGACTTGATATATCGTGCAGATGAAATTCCTCAGTGCCGGGAAATGATTTCTGCATATATACATCTAGTCTATAGATCAGCACACACACAGTTTAGATCCTGCACCTCAAAATTAAACAATCGCCTACACCAACCAAGAATTTGAAACGCAAACGAGACGATGCTCAACCATCATCCAAGCGAATCAAACCTTCGGAAGGTACACGCGCTAGGATTAAACGAGGAGTTAAACGTGCCGGTCACCAATCTCTAGCACCCGCGCGAGCTACTAAAGATATAAGTCAACCGAAAAGCATTATTCTACAACATCCAAAGCTCAACGCAAAAGTAAAAGGAAAATGAAGGCAAACACGAGATACATATATATCACGTGTACACAAACGGTGAAGAGGAACGTGTCCGAATACTCGGAAACTACCTAAGCATTTGTTTGGGGACAAATGGTGGCGAGGAACAGTCAAGTGATCCAACTCTAGGTACTGTTAAGGAGTGTTGCTGTACGGCACAGATAGAGTACACTGTCGGTGTAGATCATGATGGGGGACGTCAGTAGGTATA